ATATCTTTCAATCATGATTATTTTTAGGATTATGATGATCACTTACTGAGTAGCCAAACTCATCAAACTATGGTAAACATTTTTTCAGGATAACTACGGATTCATTTTGAGTGCTTGTCAAGATCAACCTTGGAAGATACTGTTGTTGTGCTAGCTTTCTTTATTTACTATGTAAGACCTCGGCACTGTAAATTTGTCCTATCAATAGATGTATATATGTTTTGTCCGTCACATCTCAGGAATAATAGTATTGTAAATTCTTGGGGTGTGACAGAAGCTCACTACGTTTGTAAGAAGGAGAATGAGAAAGGAGTTGTTGGGCCACGTCTTACCTTTCGTCCTATTTAAATTCTTTAAAACACCTCCACTTCATACATGAGGTGTAGCATTAATAATAAGCTTCTAATGTTTACAACCCAGTTAGATGATAAGAAAAGTGAAGGGTAAAAAGATATAAAAGTAGTGATGGTCCTTAAGAACCATAATGCCTATATGGACCATCATACTATAAAGAGTTTTTTTTTTTTTTTTAAGTTTAGGATTGTTACACAATCTCTATTGAATTTTAATCTCTATTGAATTTTAAATTAACTAGTTTTATGGCAATAGATCATGGGATTTTAGACTTGACATTCTCTCGATTTGATGCTATAATTTCATTTTATGATTTTTAAATAAATATGAGCATTGAAATCCATCAAATCCAAGTATTTAGTGAGAAAGAGCTTTGGTTACTATTATGATTAGAAAAATATATATTGAGAGATATTTAGTTTTGGTATAAGGTGGTCACAATTAATCTTGAATATTGGATGTAAAATTGGGTGACAACATTTATTTCATTAACGAAACTCAAAATTCAAAACAAAATTTTATTGAATGACACATCTAAATTATCGACCGGTAATTGGTCTCATTTTACATAATACCATTATGATTTCCCCAACTTAGGAGGGAGGGTCAGGACATTATGGAGAAAGATTAGGCCACAATTCGTTATTTAATACCTTTAATAAAACCCCATGTAAGGACCGCGAATCCTCTGGAAACCATGACAACCGTGCCTCAGATCGCGACGTGAAACCGCTAACCCGTGCAGGAATCCGCCAAGAAGATGGTGTCGGAAAACGGAAAACCGCTCATACCCCTCTTAGGCTTGGGCTTCTTTGTTCAGGGATTCAGGTGTTTCCCATGGCTTGCCATCAACTTTTTCCTAAAAGACACTCTAGGAGTGGCCCCATCCACTCTTCAGCTCCTTCAAAATTCAGCAAATTTGCCGATGGTTGGAAAACCAATTTATGGGTTGGTCTCTGATGCCGTTTACATAAGGGGAGAACACAGGTTGCCGTATATAGCAATTGGTGGTAAGTGAAAACCACCTTTTTTTCTGTTCGAAAACCGCTTTTCTTTTGGTGGGTTTGCTTTTGAGAATTGGGTTGTTGATTTATGAAAAGTGGGTATTGAGAAGATGGGAGTCTTGGATATGAATACGTTTACTGGAGTGAAATTCACTTATGTGGATTCATAAAATCACTTCTTTTTTTTCTGTTCAGTTTTTTATGAATCATGTTAATTTTATAGAGAGATTGGTTGTTGAGTCTGATGCAGAGTTATGAATCGGAAGTTTTTCATTCATTTCTATGGAATCGGAAAAATTTTGAAATTTTGTCAAATTTTATGTTTCTGCAGTGGAATCTTGTTTTTGCTGAATTGAGCTATTTTTGCCTGGAAATTGTGTTTCAGTTAGCTTTACTCTGTACAAGCATTCCCTTTTGTGTTTTTCATTTCCATTGTTCTTAATTTCTTCTTTTTTTTCCCTCTCGAGTACTTTCTATTTGTTTATTATTATTGTGCTTACAATTATTTATTATTATAATATTTTAGTGGGTGAATTTGGGAAATCTTGATTCATGGGCCGTGCCTTTACTAATTCTTCGGATATCTGTACTGTTATTTATTCTTTATTACTTCTTCTTACTGTTATTTATTCTTTATTGCTTCTTCTTGTCATTCGTTTTTCTTTCTTGTAGGAACTTGGTAACAATGTGTTGCATTTAGATTTGCTAAAATCCAATTCTTTCCAATACATGAGATCTTATTAGACTTCTTAGTGGAAGTTTATAGGTAGAATCTAGTAGTTATGGACTGATCTATATGAGAACCGTTAACAGAATTTGGAGAAGCGAAGCTCTTTGTTAAGCTTGATTCAGTGCACAATGCTGGTATTTTTTGTGTTGAAAAATACCTTAGTTTATTTTATAAAAATATAAGCAATACCTTTCTAGAAAGGTTAATATAAGGACTAGGCCTGATGAAAAAATAAAATAAATCCATATCTTAGATCTCACTGAAAATTGCAGTTTGGTGTTGACAAAACTTCATATTGATCATCTCAACCTTGACTATAATGGTGTGAAAAAAAATAAGGATTTCAAGCCCTTAATATATATTGTAATACATTATCTAGATCGTCCATTTTCAAGTGTTTCTGTATCATTTTTTGAGCTACAAATTTCATAATCTATGATGGAAAATAGATTTTAGAGCCATTATAGGGGTTGCCCATGCCCGAAGTCTTTTCTGGACTACAATTTGAGTTGAGGCTTTATTTTTCTTCATAAGGCTGCCTCATCCTTTTTTAGAAGTTTAGTTTTGGACAGGAGGTTGGTTTTAGTCCCATATTAACAATTTAATAAATTAGAAAGTCTAACTTTATGTAGAGACTTCTCTTTATGTCTGTGTGCATGGAACAAATGGAGTGAAGGCCTATGCACATTGCACTTGAGTTTCAGTCTGTATTTTGCATGTTCCAAGATGCCCTTAGCCCATGTGCACTTGCACGTTTATGCGTTACACATGTTTTTGGACCATGTGGCAATTTTGGTAAACAAAAGGGATAAATGGTCGAAATGCCCAACTATTGGGTTTTTTGAATTTCAAAATTGAAAATCATACGGGTATTGATACGGTTAGTGACTGTTTAGTGACTCAGTTTCGTGAATGGTTGTGACTATTATGAAAAATGTTAATGTTAACAAGTTATCAATGAGAAGACAAATCTCTTCGAAGAAAATTAACAATGAACATTTCTTTGTTTGGACGGGCACCTTTATACGCTATGCAAGGCAGCAAACTTGTCATTCAAGTAATGTATCACGATTCAAACTCTCTTTTGAATTCTGTTCCTGAAGGAATAGGCAATTCTTTGGTGCATCCTTGATCTTATTGTTCTTGTAAATTGAGAGTTTGAGAGAAAGTTCGTTTGTTCTTCTATTTGTTGTACCCTGAAAGTACAAATTTGCCCAAGACCCTTAATTTATAATGAAATTCATCTCGGTATGAGGCAAGAATCACCTTGAGATAGTGCCTTTAAGACTTGCCTCGAAACAGAAGAACATTACCTTCTTTTGTGCATTTATAGTTCGATCTCTGCGCTTTCATAGTTGCATCTCTGCAGTTTGTCATAAAAGTTTCCTCTTTGCTTGTCAGTGGAAGGTTCCAATACTTGCCGAAATTCCTATAAAATAAACACACCTCTGCCCGTAGAGAAAGAGGCTCATGAAATATTGAATTCTACATTTATGATGACACACTTATGTTACTCATTACACTATCTCTCTTTAATTATTACACTTTCTCTTTCTTCACACACTACTTCTCACGTACTCACTTTTGTTTTTTTTTTCACACCACACTCAAGTACCTCACAACTCACCACTCACTTCCTAATTATGCTCTCTTGCTCACTTGATACACACTTGAGCCCATCAGACCTAATTATGCTCTCTTGCTCACTTGATGGACCCAAGTGTGCATTAAGTGAGCAAGAGAGCATAATTAGGAAGTGAGTGGTGAGTTGTGAGGTACTTGAGTGTGGTGTGAAAGAAAAAGAGTGAGTGACGTGAGTAGTTGTATGTAAAGAAAGAGAGTGCAATAATTAAAGAGAGAGAGAGAGTGTATAATGAGAAGCATGAGTGTGTGTAAAGTTTAATATTCCATGAGCCTCTTTCTCTTTCCCTACGTATAGAGGTTTGTTTATTTTGCAGGAATTTCGGCATGTATTAGAGCCCAAGAAAATCCTAAATGTGGTATCAGAGCAGGTTCGGTCAGGGGCCATTTTACGTGAGCAGTGAGACATTGTGAAGCCGATTGGTAGGGGACTGAGCTTCTTGGAGGAAAAAATCAACGAGCGACCCACCAATCATGATGACGGGCCTAGCAAACAAAACTGGAGGGCTTGAGAAGTTGAACAACCACAATTACGAAGATTGGCGTTCCTACACAATTGTCTCCTACTCTGTTGCAAAGTAGTCCCGCATCTACTCTTTTGCAATACTGTGGTTCACATTAAGCGCATTTGCCCTTCAGCGATATGTGGTTCACACTTATATCAGTGATTCTATAGTTTCATCCTATGTCCATCCCTACCGTGGGTTCATCTATTATGTGCTTTGTGTTGATTATTTGCGGTTTATTATTCTGCCCCCTCGTTCACCGACCCGATTCCAACAGAATCCCTTGTTTATTGGTGGTAATTTATGAAAGCTTAAGTGCACAAAATAGACTTGGATTACAAGAGTATAAATCATGCTCATGAGTTTTGTAGCAGTTTGAGTGAAATGTTGGATAGATTGAGATTACTTATGTAATGCACTTGAATGATTTGATTATTGATAGGGCCGAATTCTTTTTTCTTGTAATTTGGTGCCCCCCGCCATCATCTAGGCATCATGAGCTCATGCACTGAGTGAGTTGTTACAAAAGCATGATTTTGATGCTATTTATGAGTCCCGCACCGTCAACTGGTTGAAGCTCATTTTGGGTAGGAGTTGGACTCCTCTGGTTTTTTCTTCTGATAGATTTTGTGTTGGACCTATCAGAACATGTATGACTTTCTAATTATCTAAGTCTTATGGGATTTGAATAGTTTTAGAAAGTTCAATTTTGATGCAAAGTGATCCAGCTACAGGCTGATGTTTGTAATGTAAGTGGTTCCTTTTTGTCCTCTCTAATTGTCCAAATATTCTTCTACTCAAATCTTCTCCAATTCATGTGCAATAAGACTTCCCAAATCACCTATCCTCAAACTGATAATGCCTCCTCTCATATTGACCTTCAAAATAACATCATCAGGAATGTCTTTTTTCTTCGTCCCCCCCCCGCCCGGCCCCCCCCCGCTGGGCTCTTGTACATTTTCCTTGGCTGCTATGTGAATCGGAAAACATATTGGTTCAACTAATAAGCCATTTCTTGATTCCCTATGAAAGGATTGGTTGTTTATTATTATTATTATTTTTCATAACCTCGTTTTTCACGGAGAGCTAGATCAGTAAACACTTGATTGTGAAGTCTTTGTTGTACTTCATGTGGGGTTAGATGGGGATAATTTGAGCTATGAACCGAAATGATAAGAGATCTCCATGGCACCTTGTTGTGGGTCTCAACTCTGTTGTTTGTTGGCAGTATTTTGTCCAACTTCCCCATTTTTGACTAATGAAATCTGATGCGATTTTTTATCAAATTTGAAAATTTAATTATTGAATTTATTGATTTAAGAATTTTGATAAATCTAATTATTGAAAAAAGGGATCTATATAAAATCCAGCTTGTTTATGACATTTTAAACTTACATGATTGTCGAATGTCCTGCTGCAAAATCTGTCCTGTTCCAAAATCCAGGTCATGTTTTACAAGTAGAAATATGGGAGCATTTTTTCCAGTGCGTCATTTCGACCATCACTCTTATCACTTTATCAAAACTTCATCAGATCTGATGAGACATATTATTGATTATCAATTTTTTGCTTTTATTGCATGCATCTAGTTACACCTATAAATAAGCACATCCTTCCCTTTTCGCTTTTGTCTTCCATACTGACCTGCTTTAAATGGGTATTAATCATATGCCTAAACTAGGAATCGGACTTCATTCTTTTGAAGGTGCAATACTTCGCTAACTTGGTTTGTTGCCACTTCAGGTCTTGTCCAAAACCAATTCAATTTGTCAAGAAAAGAATAGCAAAACTCATAAGTTTATGCTCAAATCAAGTGACTCATTTACTTCAGCGACTCCCTTAAAAGTGTTGACTTGTGCCATCAGGCAAATGTGTGGACCTCTTAGGTTTTGCTGGTACACTCAGAACCTGTGGTGGTCCAGCTCATTTTATGAAAGAAATGAATGGAAAAGAAGGAAATGGTTCACTTAATCTCATTTATTAGATCAGTTTGGTTTGCTATTAACTTTAAGTTTTAACCTAAAAGATAAAGAATGTATCCTCTCTATTGGTGCTGGTTTTCATCTGATTTTTTTTGTGATAAAGATTTTATGAGGTGCATGTGTCTTCAAGATTATTTTGCGCGTTACATTTAATATAGAAAGCATAATTGAAGGTTTTGAACTGCATAGGATGAATTGGAAAGAACATATTTATGCATGGATTGAAAAGGATAATGATTAAAATTAACTTCATATACTTTAAAAGTTAATTGAAACCTACCTTTTTCTTCTTCAGGTTTTCTTCAGGCAGTTTCTTGGCTATCCATTGCTCTGCTACCTGATTCCAGTATTTCCATTTTGACCCTCTCTCTCCTCCTTCTACTCAGCAACCTGGGAGCCTCCATTGCTGAGGTAGCTAACGATGCCCTTGTTGCAGTGGCTGGAAAACAGCCAGAACATGCTCGAAAACATTTGAAACCTGCCAGAAAACAACCTTCCGGCGAGCTTCAATCCTTTGTTTGGATGGCAGGCTCTGCTGGTGGTGTCATTGGAAACCTCCTCGGTGGCCTCTTCCTCAGTTACTTCTCTCCAAAACTCATGTTCCTTCTCTTTGGTCTTCTCCTCTCTCTTCAACTTCTCACTACATTAACTATTTCTGAAGCCTCCTTGAATTTGCCCAAGAACCCAAAAACTGGAATTAGAAACCAGTTCTCCAATTTGATGGGTGCACTAGAAAAACCAGAAATCGCTCTTTCGGTTGCTTGGTTTTCTGCCTCATTTGCTTTAGTTCCCATCCTTACAGGTAGCATGTTTTTCTACCAGACCCATTACCTAAAAGTCGATCCTTCTACTGTGGGTCTTTCCAAAGTAGTTGGGCAAATGGCTATACTTATTGGGAGCATGATCTACAACCGTCGACTCAAGTCTCTCTCCCCCCGAAAGCTGATTGTGTCTGTCCAGTTACTTATTGCTGCCTGCATGTTCTCAGACTGGCTTTTTGTGAAGAGGGTGTATAATCAGATAGGCATCTGTGATGGGGTTTATGTGGTGTTATTTTCTGGTCTTTTTGAGGCTTTGTTTCAGTTCAAGGTGCTGCCTTTTAGTGTTTTGCTTGCTCAGCTATGTCCTCCTGGGTGCGAAGGCTCTCTAATGGCATTTGTGATGTCTTCCTTAGCTATGGCCACTATAGTTGGCGGGTATTTGGGAGTTGGCTTGGCATCTTGGGTTGGGATCTCGGAAAATGACTTTGGGGGCCTGCCTCAGGGAATATTGATACAGGCCCTTTGTACGGTGGTGCCGGTCTTTTGGTCACATTGGATCTCAGAGCCATCTCGCAAGGAAGATTAGTGCACAACCAGTGGAGAATGATATTAACACAAGTATGCGATAGTAGTATGGACTGGAAATTGGAGTCCTCTATTTGGGTCATTACCTTCCAATACCGTGATGGATGGTGAGGGAGCAGACCCACCGTTTGAGTTATATCATATTTGGCAGTCCTCGTCTAGCACCGTCTATCATTTCATTGGACAGTGAGGATGCTAGTGGGGTATGGTTTCTATAGTCTATTAGGTTGTAGTGTACTACCCTTTTCCAAATGGGCAAGGAGTTCAATGTATACAATAACATGCATACATTTCTTTTGCTGTTCTTGGCGGATTATTGGTGCTGGTTTCTCTGTTCATTCTTTTCTTTGAATAAGAAGAATATCAAATATAAATCTTCATGCCTTACCTCGAGGAAGAGAGTCTTTTTGGCGGCGCATTCCAAGTAATCTGAGGAACAATGAAGTATGGAAGCGTTAGCTCCTTATTTCCTGCACTCCCTTTGTTCTCTGTGGAATATCTGAAATTCCTTTTGTTTGGTAGTGCGGGAATAATGTATCTATTCTATTTTGGGAGTTAAACTTATATTTGGTCCCTGGGCAAATGTAGTTTTATGATGGTCATTACAACAGATGCAATTGCCAATATTTTTTTTATGCGTGTGTTTATAGAAGGTGCCACCTTTAAACAATTAAGGTGCAATTTCGAACTCTCTTAGAAAATTGGGTTCTGAGACCAAAAATTTCTATGACGCCCTGGAAATTTGTTTTTGCACCTAATTATGAAAGCGAAAGATCTAGAAATTGTGTATATTCAGTAGGTGTATAAATATTTGAAAATCTTAGAAATGGGTGATCTAAAAAATGTATTATATCTTAGATGCTTTATTTTTAGGTTCTGATATTCTGGTTTTTTCACATCCACACATCTGGAAGTGTAACGGCGATCGATTTGAGAGTTTTTCATTATCTAAACAGGTTGGGTTTTTAGTTTTACGATATAAGGTTGACTCACTTTGTATGAATTTTTTTCTCTCCAATTGATCATTTTGATCGAATGGAGATGATTTTGAGTGCTCTGATGATAGTAGCACCTAACTAGATGTTGTTCTTGTGAGACCAAAGGGATGGTTGGTTAACTTGAGACCACTATATATGTGTAGCAATGTTTTTAAAGTCCGTGATCCGGAGCGGAACTGGTCGATCCTTATCAGGAATCTATCAGGCGATCTTCATCCAACTAAATATTCGGAACCAATCGGTTCCCCCCATGAATCGGATGATGAGCCGGTTCTTTTTTTTTTCTTGATTTTTTTATCTTAATTTTCTTTATGTTTTAATTTAAAAATTTTGAAATTTTTACATGTTCCCATTTTTCAAACTCCTATTTTTCTATTGGCTGGCCCCACCAGTGTGCCTGCCTTGCTCTAAGGAAGAGGAACGGCTAGGAGCCACATTGCATTTCTCCAGAACCGTCCATTTAAGACTGAAAAATGATCAAAGGAGCCACATTAGTAGTTTTCTTTTGATGATGCTTTTAACTTATTCATTTTCATTTGAATTTCGCCAATTTTTATCATCACAAATTCTACAAAAAAAATTGACCAAATCTACCCCAAAGTGAAAGATACAATGAATGTAGTGAAAAGGAAAGGGGTGCAGTTGGCATACGGATGTATCCGTAGCAGTAAAGGCAAGGTGCGCAGTTAAATTTTATCATGATATATATTTTTGATGTAAAATATTTTTAGGATTATTTTAAAATATATTTTTACATCTAATTATAAAATTTTAAATTTAAAAATTGGTTAAAATCAAATAGTCTATAAACATATGAAAGTCTTGAAAGTGGACGGTGTAGATAATATGTTGTAAAATGTACTTTTTTTGAGATTTAAAATATTTTTATTTTTCATGGTCATACATCTCGATGTCGAGATGATCAATCAAAGAGTTTTTCAACATTAAAACTATATTTTCCGATGGATTTTTTATGTGCATCCGTAGCTTTACATTATAAGGTTGCAACCTTATAAACTTTTTCGAAAGAAAAAACTTTTATAAATAAAATGAAAACTGTTTAAAATTTGGGCAGGCATGGTGTGGACTTGCAGGATCTTATTATGCATATATTCTATTGAGCATGAGGCCTACTTGAAATTCAGATGCACGAGTTTTTTTAAGTTGAGTTTTGAACTCATCTTGCTATATAGTGTTTTTAAACCGTAAAAGAGTTTTGAGCTCATCTTGTTAGTTAGGTGATGTTATTTTTTTGAACTTCATGATGCTATTTTTTACAAGAAAATGAGAAGTGCTTATAGAATCGTTTTTTTGATGAAAAGCACTATCATTTTATTTTAGGAAAATTGTTTGGTGCAGCTAAGCCCAGACTTGGTACTATGTGGGCTGGAGATCTACACCATTCACCATAACCAGGTCTCTTAAGTAATAGTCCTCCAAAGAAAAAGTAAAACCAACGATTCAAATATTTTTTCTAAAAAAATATCATTTCTAGTTTTTAATATTTATTTATTTTTACAAATTAATAATCTCAATATTAAAGATCATAGATTCCCTAAAAATTAGGATCAAATTCTATTTCAAAAATAAATTATTAAAGAGCCCATATTTCCATATGTGACTCCATGGCCCGCATGCTAATCGCGTCCTTGTATTTATAATATCATAAAGTATGAACGCTATTCAGAAAAGAATAAAATAAAAAAATCATGATACATCAATGTGAAGGATATAGCTTTTTCTCTTTGAATCAAAAGGTCCATAACTATTATATGGGTCCTTTATTTCTTTACTACAAAAATTTGAGTTAGAGAAATCCCTTTATTGCAATGAGTCATATTTTGAACTTCATTTTGACTACAAAATGAATATAATGGATAATAAACATTCAGACATGAGACATGTTCAAAGTAATAATGAATTTTTAGTAAAATAATAAAAAACTATTGTAGACACCCCAATCCCGATCGAAAAAACCATACAAAAACCATATCCCCTGGGACATCCCCCCAAGGACCTGAATCATCCCGAAGACCTTGAAAGAACCATACCACACCACTTGGACTATGGGCAAAACTCGAAACTCAGTGAAGCAGCCTCAAGCGATCCCAAGGGGGCGAAAAGAGACCAAAATGAAAAATCAAGGTAAGAAACAAGCACCTAAAAGAGAAAGAGGCCAACTACAATAGCACAGTCATCAATGAAAGTACCAACGACGTATATGAGGTTGTGGCCCCTACAACTCAGGTTGAAATGTTGTTGATACAAGTGGTAATTGTGTCAGCTTCTGATTGGCCGGAAATGCGGCCTAACCGTCTGACATTGGAATGAGGGAAATTATCATCATTATTGAAATTGAAGGAGCTAATGGCGTCAACGAATTTGACAATCTCGACGCCTTCTGATTGGTCAAGACAACTGCCAAACTGCCTGACATTGGAATGTGGGAACTGAATCAAATAATTGCGCCATCATTCACAAAAACAACGATGGCAACGTTATCAACCCACACCGGAACCACCGCCTATGATCAAGTTCCCATACAGATAGTTGGCGGCATAATGATTTACTGAAATTACTGCTATTGTCAGCACCATTGTAAGCCTCATTCAAGCCCTAAAATACCCCTCAATGGAGCTTGAGTGTAGGCAACGTAGTTGCCATCTCCTTTACGTCTGCAACATGGCGCCGCCCAAAATCACACAGGTCGGAACATGAAGGGTAGCGTGTTACGGAAGCTATAATGATTACAGGCAAACGAGAAGGACAATTCAGTCGACAAAGATGACAACAACGATGGCCATCAATGGCCCAAATTCATTTTCAAGGGAGAATTTTTGTGCCAAGGCTATGCCACTTTGTAATCCTCGAGATTTTCAATTATTACACCCAGGTTTTGTCCCCCAGAATTCTGAATCTTGAATCTGGAACAGACTCGAACCTAATCTTGCTCAAATTAAACCTTCGACCCTTTTTCCAAGACAGTAATCCAAATAACCGACATTCGTTTTGATAGGAAAATCTCTAAAGGACTAGGAAAAGCCATGCTCGGATTCATCCTGAACCGTCGCTAAGATTGGGTCCCGGCCTCAGGTACAATTTTCTTTCATTTATTTCGCTGATTTATTACGATGTTGACTCTATTTCCAACCCTTTTCAAAATCTCTCCCTATTTTCGCCTGGACTTCTAAAATTTTTCTTCAAGCTCCAAGCTTAGTGGTACTAGATGCTGGCCCAACCGGCCATCTGAGCTAAGGAGGGTCTTTTGGCTTGACCTTCGGCCCTACTGCAATTAGATGAGACCCATTCTCTACCATTCCCCTCTATGACAAGTTTAGACCTGAAATCTATGCTAAGACCAACGTCCTAGCTGAAATTTTCGAGTATAAATAGTTTGGCGCCCACCGGGACCTGGATTTGTTGGCCTGGAACATGCGGCTACCAGCCATGATGAAGTTGCAAACTTAGCACCGACCATTTGGCTAGATGACCAAAATACCCTCAAGGGACAAATGAAAGTGACAATTCCTTCAATGATAGTACTTGTCGTGTTAGGCCGAATTCAAACAAAGAATTGTCACCAGAAGCCCAAGTGGTTCCCTAAATGGTACTGGCTCGGGACAACATCATCTTCGTTTTTATGACAAATGTTCAAAAGATTTATTGATGACTAAGTGAAAGAAATTACATAAGAACAAATCAACAACAAGGGTAACGAGGCACCTCCTTTAGCTAAAGAATCGGCAATGAAATTTGCTTCCCAGTAGACAATGATTGAACGAAAGAGAAGGTCCAGTTAAATCCATTATTTGCAACCACAAAGATCGCACTTCCCACGGAACCTTATGTTCCAATTTGCACCGTTTTATCACATTCAAAGAGTCCCCTTCAATCCAGACATTACCAGTAATGATCCTCTCAATCAAGATTTTCAACCCACACAACAAAGCACTCAATTCAGTAAAATTTGCTGTTTTTTCCCCTATCAAGCCAGCAAAAGAGAAAATCACACAGCGCGTCGAGTTATGTACAACACCACCAATGTCGGCGCTACCTAGATTTCCAAAGGAACTCCCATCGAAATTTACCTTAACGCTCCCAAAGTCAGGTGCCAACTACAAGCTCTTCGGTCTAGAACGAGAAGTACCAAGAGAAAATAGATTATGAAGATTAGACAAAACATCGGAATACCCCAACCCTCCTTAGTCACAGATAGCCATAACCAAATGGATAGCTTAATTTTGGCTATGAGCTTTTCAAAGGGCAATGAACTCCCATCGAAGGTTCTTCTATTCCTCTCATTTCATATTTCTCAAAAGATAACCCCTTTAGAAATCTTCCATAGAACCTTCCCACCTACAGGTAAATGACTTAAGGACATCTGAGAGATAATACCTTCCACTGAATGGGGCATGATATAAAGTACCCCAAATGTGGAGAAAAGCTAGGACCACACACGGGATGTAAAGGAGCAATGGAGCAAAAGATGTGCCATTGTTTTCGCATCTTCTTTGCACAAAAGACAAATATTAGGCAAAAATTTTCCCCTTTTAATCAAGTAGTCAACCGTTAAAGTCTCGCATTAGAATGAAACTTCCTCCCATCTAAGCAAATGAAACTTCCTCCCATTAGAAT